GCGGCGTGCCCGCATGATCAGCCATGGCGACCAACGCGGAGTTGGCCGGTTAATGGTGATTCTTTCTATTCCTTTTCCCCTCTGAGTGGAGGGGCCCTCGTCTTGATCCTAGCGCTTGGCCTTTCCTTTGTCGTGGCCTCCGTTAAAGCGTGGTGGGAACGGCGCTTGATGGAGGTGTTGGGTGAAGGTCAGTGGCCCTAGACTGTCAGGGCTGGGACTCCGATCGACGCCGCGCGTGCCTCGGTTCGGTCTGAGGCGTGCGTAGACGGGCATTCGACATGGAGCGGTCATCAAGTTAAGACGAGGTGCTGTTGCGGCTTCCTATGCCATACTTGGCGGTTGTGACGGTGCTAGGGCGTAGTGCCCCATCTGCCGCGTCTATGTTCCTCGGATGGGGAGTGAGGTCACGAGTCGGTGTCACGATACGGAGTTGTCTGCTTGTTGAACGGCGGCGGTCTCCACCAGTGCCCGGAGGTTCCGGTGGATCGCCTGTTCGCGAGGGTCATTCGGCTCGGACAAGCTGCGTAGGAGCATTGCCGCGGCGACAATGTTCTGGCTGGCCCGAGCGAACTATGGAGGATCGATTCCCCTATTCGGGGTGTTGCGCTGGACCCGACGGGCGTGACCTCGAGCGCCGTTCGCCGGTCTATGCGCGCGGGGCGCAACATGGTGCGTTGAGCGCGCTGGCGCAATTGGTGGCTGATGTGGCCACTGTCGTCGTATATCCTCCCCGTGCTCGCACATGAGCTCGGGGGTCTCCGCCTGAGGGCCCGAAGGAGCATGGGTCCATGCGGACTCCGTTACCCCTGGCGGCCGTTCCGGAGCGTCCGTCATAGCGCACTCACAAGACAGACGGTGGCTTGGTGCCACGTCGCCGATGCTGGAGTCGTCACTCCCGACATCGTCATCCATGAAGTCGAGACAGCTGGGACCGTAGTCTGCCATCCCCACGAGTTCAGACGTGAGAGGGGATGGCGCCGACATCCGCTGGAGCCCCCGAGCGTACGCGTCCGCGGGAGACACGAGGCCATAGGGGGACCGACTGTATGGCGGCTGCATCAGGGACAACGGTAACCCACCGAGTATTCGGCGGAAGATAGAACATAGTAAGTAAATAATAGCACGTATATTACTCACAGCGGGGTTTGAGCAGAGTGTTTGCTCGAAATGAAGCGCAGATGCCGCGCCATCGATGTCGCGCGTCCCAGAGTCGATGGAGGGCGCCCCTTCAATGGGTGTCGGAACGTGCGTCTCCTCGCGGAGGTGGAGTACGCCGAGTCGGTCGGCGACGAAGTCCAGGCCTCTGAAGCAGAAGGCCTGGGAAGGCTCGAAGACGGGTGGAACCCGCATCCCAGTTGGCGAGTGTGTGGGAAATTCCATCGAGCCGAAGCGAATCGTATCGCCTGAGCCTGCCACGGCGGAGGTGGCAGAGAAATGGGCCATCCGATTACCAAAAAAGTGTTGAACGTAAAGCGTCTTCCCCATGGATGGCGCCAACTGTCGGTGCAGAAAGTGACCAACTAGTAAATATTTGTAGTTTTGCTGTACGTTGTGATCGGAGGTGGCCTAGCACTCAATGACACATGATTTATACTGGTTTAGGCAACGTGCCCAACGTCCAGTCAGGGTCGGTTGGTGACTTTATTCCCGAGCCCAGGTGCTCGAAGTCTGTAGTGGGGTTACAAACGAGAGAGAGATGGGGTGTCCGGTCGGAAGGGCTGAGATCGATAGAAGCTATGCTATGAACGAAGTGTCCAACCCTAAACTTGAACTTCAAGAGGTCGACTTGGGTGAACTGCCTGTGTTTGGAGGGAGCACATCCCCTTTTATAGAAGAAGGGGATGGCTTTACAAGTGAGAGAGAGAGAGAGTACGGACGCTTTCAAGCCTTGTTGCCCACGCCGATGGGGATGGGACAATGGTGGGCGCCCGCAATACTATTGATGTCACTATAGAATGTCAGGTATACGTGGGAGGTTGAGCTGCTTTCTTCAAGACTGGAGGACATCGGTACCTGCAAAAAATGTTGTCTCGCCGACTGGAGGTATGACTTTACCACGTTCACCTGATACGGTGAATTCCGGCGCCCACCGTGGGGGGGTCTTACCGTACGGGTGTTTTGACCGGCGCCTACAATACTGTAGAGGTAATTGTTGGCGCCTACAATACTGTTTGTGGCAGGGCGGCTGTAAAGTACTATTCCACAGGGTATGGTCCCTGGTGCCGTGGTTTGACTTGCGAGCCCTGTCTTGCCTTCCTTCGTACGCCTCCTAGTTCCATCCGAGCGGGCGCCCCCGGTCGGATGGCCCCAGTCGGTTCTGGCGTGACAGTCGGAGAATAGCGATGGGCAGGGTTTTCTATGAACCCTGGTCGGAGACAGGGTCGGAGTCGGAGGCGGTCCTCGGGTCAGGCTTTCCGAGTGGAGGCCGTGCGAAGGCAGTCGGGGCCTGACGCTAGTGCTCCGATCAGAGAGGCCGTTCGGAGTTGGCCTAAGCCTGAGCTAGTGCTCCGGTCGAAAGATGGGCCGAAGGCGGCCAGGGCCTGAAGCAAGTGCTCCGGTCTGTTGAGTTTAGACTCTTGGGCCGGTCCAGAAGAAGAAAAGGCCGTCCTCCTGGGCCGAGCCCTGGCGTGGAAGCCGGTCCCCGAGGGACCCCGGGTTTATGAACCCGACAGGTGTTAAGGTTTACATACATAGGCGAGGATCGGATGACCTCGGATTTGGCTTGTGGAAATATAACCAATCAACCGGTGATCCTTGCCTACATTAGATCATTTCTATTTATCTATCCTAGCCATGTTAGGAATAATATAAACGCATAAGCCCAATAGAGCACCAGCCGGCAACCCAAAGAACCTGCCTCACCTGCTTCTTTAACAATTTTCTACAAGGCTTTATATGATCTCATACTGTTTACGAAGCTTTAATAAATTTTTCCAATGTAGGAAAAGAAAGCACTGCAGAACTGGCTTGGCCCAAATAAGAATTCTTGAAATTCTTGAGAAAATTTCAAAGGCCCATGCATGTGTGCAAAGAGGGGAAGTGAAAACTTTTTAGTCTCACCTTGTTTATGAAAGTGAAGATAGTCATGCTTAAATATGGAAGTCCTCTCCACTTCCTCAAGTCCAGTGTGAAGAGGAGAAAGGAAGCCCACACGCGCGCGCTTGCCTTGCTAGGCAAGGGGCGTGGGCGCGCGGCACCTGTGTGAATGGTCTGCCGAAATCCGGCTCCTCGTCTTGCGGGGGCACGGTCTCTTTTTGCAGTTTTAGTTTTGGTTTCTTGGCTTTCAAATTTGCAGAGTCCTAAAGGGTTTAGATTGTGATCGCGACATGAGATCGTATTGGACAGGACTATATAAGCAGCCTATCGGCCACGCCAAAACGCATCCAATCGAGCTAGGGTTTTTGCCTCTTATCGTTCTTGCGCTGCCACCGTAGTTTCTCACCCCAACCGCCTCCGTGCACCTGCGGTCGGGAGAGCAGGTCTCCGAAACCCTCGTCTTTACGATCCTGCACCGGGTGAGGACGAATAAGGTTTTTAGGAAGCGCTCGTCGTGCGACTGCTCCTGACTTGCACGACGAGTTGTCTTCCATCCAAGTCAGGTGGCGCTCCTCTACATCTCCATCACCAGCAACGTCGTCTTCCCCTGCAAACGAAAGGTGCACGTCACGTGATCTAATCTATTGCTGTCGTTTGCCAGGTGTGTTGATCATTAAGATCTTTGTTATGTCGCTGCTAATGTTGTCCAATCTAACTAGCATGTTAGGGCTCTACATGCTAGTTTTCGAGATTGTCATGATTTATATTCTGGTATTAATCTAAAAATTGTCGAATTGTTCACCACAAACATCACTGTAGCATCCCAAAACATAGAACAGGTGATATAAAGCCTTGTAGAAAACTGCCGTTGTCAGTTGCACCGTTGTACTCTGTGAGATGCGATGGCACGGGGGATCACATCGGCCAATTGTCAGTTGCGCCGATCGAAATGGAATGGGATGGGAGGAAGTGAAATGGGGCATTGATGCTAAAGCCTGCTTGGTTGCTGCCTTGATTCAACGACAGGGAGCCAGGTAGTAGCAGTAGATAGCGTGCAAGACGTAGAAACAAAAACAAGCCTGTTCGTTTCGGCTGAAACGATCGTAGATTATTACTGCTGGCTGGTTTGGTGTGAGAGAAAAATACTGTTCTGGCTTATAATCCACGATCGTTTACGACCAAACGAACAGCCTGATTCCCCTTCCATCCTCACAGACACAGGCTGGGTGGCTGGTTGCTCCAGCTCAGGTGAAGACGCAGACGAGACGACGACGGTCCACGGAGGAGTTTTTTTTTCTTCTCCTTCTGATTCTTGAGATGCTGGTTTATCTACTACCTTGTGAGTTGTGACTTAAGGAGGAAGAAAGGCATGCAATTGCAATGCAGTCTAAGCTTGCGAGTGTCCATGTGAGATGAGATGACAAGTGACTGTTGCTATCGGTGGAGAATAAGAATCGAGTGGAAGAAGAAGAAACTAAAGGTGGTTGAACGGATTGCATCGGCGGCGGCCGAAAAGCTGAGTGTACTTGTGGAGCTGGAGCTCCGACACCGATCCTGTTCAGACTGCGCTATTGCTGCAGTCCAAGGTAGGAACATGTCATTGACTGAAGAAAAGTTGGCTTCTCAAATCTCAACCAAACATTGGCTTCTTCAGAAGAATTCCATCCGTTTCCGTTTCCTCTGAAAACTGCAATGTATGCGCAGTGGAGGAATCTAGCTGCCCAGGATGCTGACAGGTCATGTTTTTTTTTCTCTCTCCATTCATTCAGTTGACAACTAGGAGTATATATATCAATATAACTATGTATTTGCGTAAATTACAGGAGTGAGAACTCCTAGTTACATACTACATCCTACGCTTCACCCAACGCTCCAAAATATGTCCTCCAAAATCCCACGCCACACCCAAAAATACAGAAGACTGGAAAAAAAACAGATTTTTTTTTTGAAAGACGAACGACGGGTCAAGGTAAGAAGGTGTCATATCCAGCAGCCGGACTTGCGGCCATGAGCACGTGGCCGCACCTCCCGCAGGCGCCGGGCGCCACGACGGGCGGCTGCTGCTGCTTGTGCTGGGCGGCGACGATGCCGGCGCGGCAGGAGGGGCAGGTGGCGCGCGTGCGGAGCCAGGCGTCGACGCAGGCGACGTGGAAGGCGTGTCCGCAGTGCGGGAGCACGCGCAGCGCGTCGCCCTCGGCGAACTCGGCCAGGCAGATGGCGCAGTCCGTGGAGGCGGCGGCGACCGCGGGGCAAGGCGGGGCGGCGGCGGTGAAGGGCACGGTGGGCAGCGCGTCGATGGCCTTCTTATTGAGTCCTTTCGGTGGAGGATTCTGCTGCGCGGGTCCGGGTCCGGTGGAGGACGAGGCGCGGCGGCAGAGACGGCAGGCGCAGCGGGAGACGAGGGCGAGGCCGAGCACGCAGACGAGCGCGCAGAGGAAGGACGCCAGGATGACCACCATGTCGGAGTCCACCGACACCGCCGGCTGCGGCTGCGGCTGCTGCTGCTGCTGCTGGGGACGCGGTGATGGAACAGGGTACGACGACGACTGCTGCTCGCTCGGGGTCGCGGCGGTGGCGGTGGAGGCTGCTGCCTGGAGGCGGAGTCTCGCCGGGGCACGCGGCATGGCGCTCGCTCTGCTGGGAACTGGGGTGGACGCTGGTGGTGCTCTCGAAACAGAGTGTGACCGAGCATGGCAGTGGCGACCGGCTGATTCGGATTTTTATAGATAGAGGCATACTGTAGAGCTCAGCTCAGCTCAGCTCGGCCGCGTGGAAGTCCAGTCCCCGCCGGCGGCAGCGAGTGGGGTGGGGGGTGGTGTGGGGCCCGCAGAGCAACGGTGGCACCACAGGGAGCCTACCAAGTACGGTAGTAGCAAGCCGCTACGCTTTTCCAGGTTAGGCGGTATTCGCTTTCCTACAGGTACTGCATAACAGTGTTATGTGCAAGAGTCGTTACAGCAACAACAACTGCTGTTGCTACATTGCCCCTGTTGGCTGGTCTAAATCTTGACTGAAATTGGCTGAAAAACACGATTCTAGCTGAATTGTTGTGAGAGAAAAATACTGTTTCGACTGAAAAAACAAGTCGAATATTGTTTACAACTGCTACAATATTGTAACGATTACGTTACAACACGTGGACCAAACGCTGTCTAAGATCATATTTACATCCCATTATTAGTGTTATTATTAATAGTTAGCTCTATAGCTGGTACTCCTTGGGTGCTGAAATACGAGGTACCCAATTAACGGAGTATAAGGTGTACTATGCGATAAAGCAAATTACGCGTATAGTATAGCTAGCCCTCTCTTAATTGTGGATAGAAGTTGCGGTTACCATTATTTTTGTGCTGGTGAAAGAGATTAGTGGTTGGTATGTGTGTGAATGTTGCACTCGTTTAATTGAGATAGACGTTAGTTCCATCTAAATTCTGTATTTAAGAAGATAAATTTTTAATGCTTAGATATCTTATTTTTAAAACGAAGTAGCAGGGCACTCTTTATATCCACCTGCTAGGTGGTTGGATTTGGAAAGCTGGTTGGAGCCCTGGAGGTGCAAATGAACTAAGGGCCATGTTTAGATCTCCTGAGAACAATGAGAATGCATGGATAGAAAAAATAAGAATCAAATCTAAACACTTGGATTATAGAATCCAACTATCTATTGGGACTCTACTATTTGCATGTCCTCGATATACAAAGACCATAATCTAGGATCCAAACACCCCACATCTTTATTTAGAAATCAAAATCTACATCACTATATATCTACAATCACTATATGAGAATAAGATCAAACAGAGCCAGCTAACACATGTTAGCACCCTTAACTAATGAACTAATTGTTAAGCTGGAGGACAATAAGCTCTAATTAAGATTGTTTGGCAACACAACTTATAACTTGGCTTTATAGGTGTTTGTGGATAGCAAAAGAGACATCGATGTCCTTAATTGTTTGATGTAGAGATGGCATAAGTTAGCAAGGACCCTCAAGCACAATGGGCCTAAAGTCCTAAGAGTATCTCTAAGGCCAATCTTAATGGGGTTTCATGCGAGTTTTATGGGCATTAAATATCCTGACATAACACTGTGTTGATGAATGAAGAGAGAGATGATACATTTTTTTATGAAGTAGAGAGAGTTTTATGGGGATGAAATTCATCAGAACTCTTTGAATATGGGACATGATGAATAGTCAGAGCTGTGTTTGGCTAGTGTCATATATAACAATATTCTAGATGGCATGAACAATTATTGTCAAACCTCTGTGGACTGTGGGACATGAATAGCCAGAGTGCACACGACCGATAGATAGCTGCATATGCATGCTGGCATTATCAGAGCACTACCATTAGCACGTGCCTAATTTGCACCCGTAAACGCGTGCAGACGACCTGCGTGTTTTGCTTTAATTTGTTGACTGGTCCAACACACGCCCACATGTGTGTGTGTTGTTATTAGTCTCCATTCATATTTATTTATTTTGGTGTATCCAAAGGAAAAGGAGGAAACAATCCATGCAAATTCATCAAAGTGGTGGTAGGCTATCTAGCTGAATATATATATTCCATTCCTGTCAATTCATGCAATGTACGTACCCTTTTATGGTCGTCTCCATCGTGTTGCACATGTCTGCTTACTTTGAGGCAAAGTGGCCGTTCACTTCATTCTCACACCTTTCTTCAAAACGCACTTTAATTTCTGCAGTCCACAGCTCCCTCCTGCGATCTTTTTAAATTTTCCGTGTTCATTTTCGCTCATACATACACATGCATGCTTTTGATACCTTCTGTTTAAAAAAAAGTCTTTGATTGACTAACACATTTGCCCATCACGCATATCTTCGTCCGTACATGGACACAATGGATAAGGACTGCAGGCGTGTGGTGTGTGTGCATCGCTCTATCTACCTCCGTTCCAAAACTATAAGAGGTTTTATCTTCACTGCGGTTCTCCACTCTATGTGCTCGAAAAGCGACGTCAGCTGGTAAAGCGGCCTCGGGGCCAAAAACCATGAAGTATGGGGAGACGCCAGTGTTGCGACTGGGCTGGATCCTTAGTCCCCAGACCACGGCTGGAAATTCCTTGAGCCACTTGCCGAGGTGCTTCTGCTCGTTCGTGTAGAGCCTTTTCTTCAACGCGTCAAGAATCATGCCATTGGCGCACTCAACTTGGCCATTAGCCCTGGGGTGCGCAACCAAGACGTACTTAACTGAGATGCATCTTTCGTCGCTGAAGTCCCAGAAATTGGCACCAGTGAACGTGGACCCCAAGTCGGTGATGATACTGTTCAGAAGGCCAAACCGGTGAATGATGTCGTCAAGCAGCTCGGCTGCCTTCTTCGCTGTAGCTTGGACCAAAGGTTTGTATTCAATCCACTTGAAGAATTTGTCGATGCAGACATAGACCTAGCGGAAACCTTCCGGCGCGAGCTTGAAAGGCCCGATCATATCCAGTCTCCAGCATGCGAAGGGCCAAGACGCAGGAATCGTTTGCAAGGTCTGGGCCGGGACGTGGATTTGCTTAACAAAAAACTGACAATTCTCGCACCGGTGAACGAATGCCTCGGCATCGGCAACTACAGAAGGCTAATAGAAACCAGCTCGGAAGGCTTTACCGACCAGTGTTCTAGAGGCTGCGTGATTGCCGCAAGTGTCGACGTGGATCTCCTTGAGTATCTTCTTGCCCTCTTCCACGGAGACGCACTTCTGGAGTAGCTCTCCCTTGGCATTTTTACGATATAACTTTCCTTCAACTAGGACGTAATGCTTGCTGCGGCGGGTGAGGCGTTCTCCCTCTGTGTTGTTAGCCGGGACATCTACAGTGGTGAGGTATTTGATGAAAGGTTCCCTCCAATCACTGCTCGGGCCAGGGACCGCCGCGACTAACGGCTCGACAGGTGGCTTTTCTTCAACACCTTCGTGCCCCTGCTTGATGGATGACGTCATGAGGTCCTGGACGAACACTCCGGCAGGAACTTCACCCTGGGTCGACCCTAACTTTAACAGCTCATCGGCTGCTTGGTTGTCAGCCCAGACCACATGGTGGTACTCGATACCATATAACTTGTCTTCTAACTTTCTTATCGCGGCACAGTAAGCGTCCATCTTCTCGTTGGTGCAATTCCAATCCTTGTTGAGCTGATTGATCACGAGTGCAGAGTCGTCGTACACCTAGATGCGTTTAACGCCGAGCTCGACAGCTATACGGAGACCATGAAGTGTCGTCTCGTATCCAGGTCATACCAGGAATATCCCCCGGTACAAACTGCCAAGGATAGCCTAGGTATTCTCTCCTCGAACCGCCTCTGCTTCTTGGGCCACGCCTACGGGCTTGCAGGCGGCCCACGGCCCAGTGTTGTGCTCCCGCGGGAACTTCCTCCTTGCCGGCGGAGGTCTTTGAGGGTTCTTCGTGATCTTCGCCTGGGAAGCCTCTGCCTGAGCCTCCGTTTCACCGTGCGGGATGTTGCCTTCGCTGAGACCGCCGGAGCCTCCGCCTCATGCTATCCAGGCAAGCCTTCGCCGGTCGTTGCCGCAGGGGTGAAGGCCTCTGACTAACTTCCCTGCACATCACTCATGCAACCGGTTAGCGTTAGTTCCTATTGTTGTAGTGTGTCTTAGCCTCCACGGCTCATAACCGTGTCCCAACAGATATTTAATTATTATTTGTAATAACTTATAGTAGTATTTAGATGTAGAATTGAATGATGTCTAATTTTTTTTATAATAGCTCAACTGGATAATTGAGATACAAATTAAAATATGTTACTTTATTTCATCTTTCATAATAGCATTTATGAGTAATTTGAATGCAAACTTAGGGTCTACTTTGCATTAACTTTCATAATAGCAATGTGGGTAATTTATAAAAAAAATATTAGGGTGTTATGTTAAATTATTTGTTCGTAATTGTAGAACTGGGTAATTTAATATAAATTTAGTTGATTTATTTGAATTATCTTTCACAATAACTAAATTGAGTAATTAAGATACAAATTTAGGGGGTTATTGAGAAATATCTTTCATATCGGCAAGATTGGATAATTTAGATATAAATTTAGGGATTATTTCGAATTGTTTTTCATAATGGAAGAGTGGGTAATTTCAATTTAAAATTAGGGGTTTGCTTTATGCCTTTTTTATAATGGCAGAAGTGGGTAATTTTTTATAAAGCAGAATAGATCGCATGACTATTATTGATTATGATGATATTCTATCAAACTAAGGGCTAGATTTGTTTATTATTGTGAGACTTTCTAAGATTATCTCTTTTTCTAGCACGTATAGTGAGAAGTGACATAGAGGCTCCATTGGGGCCTCCAATTAGTAATGGTAAGATGGTAGAGGTGGGTAAATTTTTATAGAACAGAACATATTCAATGATTGTTTTTGGTGACGACGATAAGAGTCTACCGAAGCAATGACCAAATATTTCCAATTATCGTAAGAATTTATAGAATTTCTTTTTCGAGCATGTAGTGTTTGGTGAAAATAAACATGGCAGTACAATGAAAAAAAGGACAAATGCCGAACAGATGGATTCCTATTTCTTCATGGTTGAAAAAATTGTCTCCTCTTTATCTTATATATATAATAACTGCAATATGACACACGTGTAAGTTGTT